AGAGAGAGAGAGAGAGAGAGAGAGCGAAGAGCGAAACGGAGGGAGGGAAGAAGGAAAGAGACAGAGAAAGTGCACAGAGGAAGCCAGACACCACCATCACACAAAGCAATAGTAGCATGCAGTTAGCACCGCCGCCCCCGCTCGTTCACTGTTACCGCTGTACACTCCGCTACACAAGTTACTACTGTACACTCCGCTACACAAGAGCTACTACTGTACACTCCGCTACGCAAGAGCTACTACTGTACCTGCAATGTGCCCAGAGAAAAAGTTTGGCGTCTCCACGTGGAAGGCGCGCGAGCTAGCGGGGGAGTTAGTTAGCCGGGCGGGGTCTACTCTACCAGCAGCAGCTGCGTTAGGCACCACACCGTTCCTCTGCAAGCCCTTACTGTCGTCGCGCTCGCCGCCGGCGCCCCCTGCTGGCTCCATGTGCAGCGTCGAAAACATCTGGGTGGGTGGCGGCGCGGCAGCGGCAGCGGGAGTCTGAGACGCCTCGGTGCTGCCATCTCCGCGCTCGATCGCGTCGTAGTCGCCGCCGGACGAGACGAGCCGCGCCATGTGCAGCGCCGGGCTGCCATCGTCATCATCACGGTCCTCGCCGCCGTCGTCGCCCGCCGCGGCCGCCGTCAGGTCGAGGTCGGCGATCGGCGTCCGCCAGTAGTTGAACGCGTTGAACGTCTCGATCGCTTCCGCCTCCGTGCCGCTAGGGGGCGTCGTCGGTGGCGCCACCTTGCTGTCGGCGGCGGCGGCGGCGAGCATCCTGGCGACGCGCTCCTCCTCCGCCGACATCGTCAGGTTGCCGCGCAGCTTCGCCTCCTCCTCCTCCCTCGCCTCCTTCTGGCTGCCGGACCTCTCCCACTCCTCCTCCTCATCGTCCACCTCCATGTCTTCTACCTCCCCCTGCTGCTGCTGCTGCTGCTGCGACGATGACGACGACGACGACGATGAAGTTTTGCCGCTCTGCGTTTTCTCGTCACTAGAGGGCGCCGGCTGCTCGGCGGCCGGCGGCGGAGACTTCTCAGCGTTGCTGCGACTGCGGAGGGGAGAGAGGCTGCATGGTGAACGCGAGATGGAAGCCAAACTAGGTCAGTAGGTCAACTAGCCACGCTAACTACCATGTGTTTGTCACTGATACGGCCGACACACATGACGTAGATCGCAGTGACTGTTGATACTGCTATGGGAGAGGAAACGACTACAAACAACGCAAATACAACTATAATTTAAATTAGTATTATATTACTAATTATA